AAACATAATGGTGTGGAGGGGATGGCTATAAGGGGAGAAGGGAGGCCATCCATAAAAAAAAAGGAAGTCATCAAGATTCAGTCTGGCTTTGTGGTTCCCACTACTTTCAGGCTTTAACCCCGCTGTGGTCTGGCACGTGTGCCCTAGTGAATCTGAGACCTGCCATTTTGGTACTGGACTCTCTGGTGTATAACACCCACCACTACCCGCGGTTCATGGCGGAGCCCAGACCCCTGTACCGACAGAAGAGGTCTGAGGTGATCTCAGGCGGGGTGAAGTTCTTGAGTGGGGTGCTCCCCTGGTGGGGGACGGTGAATAATGCACATCACATTGACCAGCTTCATACGGGGCTTGAGAATCTGACGGAGATTGTGGAGGATGGATTCTCAGCCCTGGGTCCCTTCGTCATCACCACCAGAAACATGCTCTTACAACATAAAATGGCTTTGGACCTGCTTTTCGCTTCCCAGGATGGTCTCTGTCATGTGATTTGAGGATTCTTGTTGCACTTGCATTCCTGAGGTTTCCAGAAACATCACTCAAACTGTACAACACTTGAATAAACTCCTGGCCGACATGAAAGCTGATAATGTCACTGAGCCTAAGGGATGGGATTGGTGGACTTGGCTCACAGCCAGCCGGCCGTTGGCAAGCTTGGTTAGTTAGGGTCCTAACACCATTAATTTGTGTGTTTGTTTTGCTTATGATCTGTTCCTGCTGCATAGTCCCCGTGATAAAAAAAATGAATCACCTGCCTTTACATCCCTTTTCCTGCAACATGCTCATCAATACTTACTTGTTCCCAGAGAGGAGCAGGACTTTTGATGACCCCTTATCTCTGGTGACCTTTAAACTGAAACTTGCAGTTTGTAAATAAGTTAAACAGTTTTTATATTTCATTATTATTATCCTGAGGGAAAGTTCTATTCTGAAACAATAACATTTCTTAGGTCTCAACTAAAAAAAGCGACCTACAGAAGCTCATTTGTTTTGACTCCTATAGTAACATAAACAAACAAAACAAAAGGTGTTTTTATTATATGTTTATAAGCTTTTCTTAACAAGCTTACATATACAACGTTTTATTAAGCTTTTCTTAACAAGCTTACATATACAATGTTTTATTAAATAAGCTTTTCTTAACAAGCTTGCCTAAAAAAGGGCTTTTATTACATGGTTAAAAGCATTATTAATAAGTTTTGATAAATCTTTGAGGTTTTTATGCCCCATTATGATTTAAACTAAAAAAAGTGACATGAAACTGACAATGTTTTATTAGTGTTTTTTATTCTCATTACAAGACTGGTTTGGGTTTTTGAATCTACTTATAATCACATTTTTACATTTTAAGGTTATTCTTCTACATATTTCATGATTATAATGTTTTTATAAGTTTGATGTTTTTTTTCTTTCGTTACCCCCACTCTCTTTTAATAAAATGAATAAAATGATAAACGGGGGGAATGATAGATATTTTTAAACTTTATCATTTTTTATATTTGATCCTATTGCATTAATCAACTGTATTAAATGTCTTTCTTGCTGCCATAATTTTCATCTCTGCAGCTGCAGAGACTGATAAGAAGCAACCCTGTGATTGGTCAAGATGGTTCTCTCTGTGCTCTGCTTGTAATAAATTGTACAGCTTTTCCCAGCCAAGGGCAGAACTTTCTGGCTGAGACCTGTTTTTAAGCATCCTCAGAAACTTCTCACTCTTTGCAAAGAGAAAGCTGCCTTAAAACTGAATGCTTACGTTTGTGTCTGGTTTATTTCTTTTTAAGGGGTAATTTAATGTCCACTCTGACATGTTTGTTTGTTTGTTTGTTTGTTTGTTTGTTTGTTTGTTTGTTTGTGTATAAGTGAAATAAATAGATCCCAGATTGTTTAAAAAATAGATTGTTAGCTTTTTATCTTTAAAACGATCCTTCCAAAACACGTCGTTTTTAGCTGACTGCATTTTGTGTTTTTGTAAAATATCCATACTTTCTTATCAAAAAGAAATAAAACAAATGCAAAATGGCATCAACCACCAAAAGTTTCAGACTTTGTTTGGACTTTTATTTGCACAGTAAAGGTGTGGAATAGTGTCCAGTAATATATGTATATAAAGGATTTTATATAATATCAATGTAAAAACTCTTTACACTAACTGAATGCACCTCACTCAGATCTGATAAATGTTCATTGTGAGGTAGACATTAATAATAATTTCCTCCCTCTGCAAAATAATGAAGACACCTTAAATTACTCTTATCAATGTAAGAAATATATGATTATCATGAACTCTGTACATCACAAATAATAAAATAATATACAATAGAAATTACTGATTTGAGTGCATTTTGTGTATTTACAAAGAAATGTCATTCGCTCATTTCTTCATTTGTTGCACTTTGAAAAGTTTTTTACTGTACAAATCTTTACGTTCAAAACACAACAAAAAACAGCAGTGCATTCAAAGCTAATGTGCATTTAAATATAATCTTGAGTCTTTTTATATTCTCGTCACCAGAGAAGAAAATCTCTTGCTGTAGAAGTGCATTTTGTAAAGAAGCAGACTTTGAGCCAAAAAAAAAAGTTCTTCTAAGTTTTGTGTGCTTTATTCTTTCCTTTCATTTTTAAAGAAATATTTCAGTAATTTTTTTAAGTGAGGTTCTGTGAGAAAATTAGGTTTGGAGAAACAGACATCATACCAAAAGTGACCAGTTCACGGCAACTGCAGCAAAGACCAATGTGGTTTGTGCTTATTTCAAAATTGTTCATAGTTCATGCAAAAGCTAAACTGACAGTTTTACAATATGTGCTTATGTACATAGAATTCTGAACCTATTTTCATGCACAAAGCAGCATCTGCTGAGGTTCATTCTGACAGGAATGTTATATTTCTGTCCAAACTGTGTAAAGGAAAATCTGACGGTAAGGTAAGGGTTAAAAAAAATAAGAAAGTCCACCATAAACTGACTCACATTCTACAATTCAATTCAATTCAAAAATAATTTATCGATCCCAGAGGGAAATTAGGTAAAAGTAACATTTTGGGTCCCTACCTTTCATTATTCTAATCAGAGCTAGCTGCTATTACTTGGTTGACTACATGGTTGGACTGAAGAAGGGTGGTGACTCAAAATGTGATTAAAATTGTGCAATGCGAACTTGTTTGGTTGCAAAATTTTCATTTTTTTACATAATGTTTGGCTAACAATCTACATCTATTCCAGTCACATTAGAGGATTAATTGACTTTTTGTCTGTTTTTTCTAAATGAAAACATTTTCATTTTGTGAGATTTAAACCATTGTAAGTTGGCAGCAATCCACTTAAATCTTGGATACATTCAGACTAGCCATTAGATCATCGTTAAACTCAAATTTTCCAAAAACCGAGTCCTCTCAAAAATATATCTGTTAAAACATTTACAACTTTTCAGTGGAACCCCACTTTAAAATGTTTGGATTATCCCTTTAATAAAACAGGATTCCGGTTCATCTGAACTTGTGTCCGAACTTCCCTTCTCCTCTCAGCTGGTCTCCAGATAAGCCTGAATCAAATCTCTTGAAGGCATTTCCACCATCCTCCTCTCCTCAGAGTGTGTAGACTCTCACCTCCTCTTGGATTTATTTTATTTTATTTATTTCTTCAGGGGGTTATTTGGGATAGCAGACCCTGGCTCGGGCCTTCAGACTGCATCCATCGTGACCTGGATGCACAAACCTCTAAAGGACCTCTGATCTCAGCACGAACAGGTGCGCTCGGATTCAGCAGGCTCCCCTATCTTTGGGCGTGTGGTCCCTGTTTGTGCTGAATGGGCCTGGAGCCGTCTGATGAGTGAGAACTCGGTGCGTGAATGAGAAGAAATGTGCTTTAGGTTAGTGTGAGAAGACTGCGCCTCCTGCACGCACATCCCTCCTGAAGCACTTCATACCCAACAGGACTTCTAGGTTTGTCTTTCTTTTCACATTTAAAAATAGAAACGTAGGCTACCTGCAGCCGCACTGCTCCACCACCATCTCTTCATACTGTTTGTACACCACATTGTTCCCAGAGTCGGTGTAGAGGATGCTGATGGGGCTGAGCTTGGAGGGGACACAGCAGCTGGGTGGGGTGCTGTAGGGGTCCATGGAGTTCATGAGCGTCTGTATGATGGCATGGTTGGTGGGCTCCAGGTGTGACCTCAACGGGAAGTCGCACACCCCTTCACAGTGGTAGGCCTCGTACCCAAGTGGTGCGATGATCCAGTCGTCCCAGCCCAGCTCTTTGAAGTTCACGTGCAGCGGCTTCTTGCTACACCTGGACTTGGATTTCTTCCCGTGCCTCTTCCCATGCCGGTTGCCCAGCGCCATCCTCCGCCGCCGCCGGAGCCCCTCAGCTCTGGCCCTGCGGGTTTGTGCCACCTCCCCCTTTTCCTTTTCATCCTTCCGTGATTTAATCTTCTCCTTCATCTCAATGAACAGGTTCTCCTTCTTCCTGGAGTGAGTGTAGACCACCAGGATGGCCTTCTCCTGCTGGGTCCGACTGCTCCGGTCCAGGCCCAGCTGTCTCAGGTTCACCTCGGCACCTGACTGCGTAGCCTTGAGTTGGAAGCAAAGCTGCCTCCCATGATGAGAGAGACGGTGTGCTTTAAACACGTCCCACACGTCCAAAACCTCCCAGCCAGCTTTGGAGGAGTCCATAGTGTCCAGGGACTTTGTGTCCAACAGTGCGTCAGAGTGGCAGGGGCGCAGTTGCATGTTGTAGAGAGCTGAAGTCTGTGACGTCCCCTGCGCTCTCCTGAACAACCTTAACTCCGCTCCGACCAGCTCCTCTTTCTCCGACAGGGTCGAGACATCAAACAGATACTTTTGTCTGCACAAAGGAGAGTGCAGCGGATTGTCTACGAGGAGAAAAGAAGGAAAAATAATTGCAGTCACATTGAGTTAGCTGTACAGTGTTCAGAAAGACATGGAGGGGGGTGGGGTGGTCACATTCTCCTACAGAGGCCTTCTCTCTCTCTCTCTCTCTCTCTCTCTCTCTCTCTCTCTCTCTCTCTCTCTCTCTCTC